TCTCTCTCACACACACACACATGCACCTCTCTCTCTCTCACACACACACACACACACTCGCTCCTCACATAATCGCGCGCTGCGGATCGGCTCTGCTTCAGGTGAGTGTAAATACGGCTTCTCTGAATCACGCGAGCAATAATCGTCGATTAATCGATATTCACCCGATCATCTGATAAAAACAAGATCGATTGTTTCGGTTAATATTGTGTTTGTTCTGTTTCATTCGGTTATTTATCCCGAGATATTGAAGGCTGGAGTTATACCGTGTATATGTGACCCTGGAGCACAAAAGCAGTCATAAGGGTCCATTCTCAAAATTGAGATGTATGCATCACCTGAAAGCTGAATAAATAAGCTTAACATTGATGTATGGTTTGTTAGGATTGGACAATATTTGAAAATCTGGAATCTGAGGGTGCAAAAAAATCTAAATATTGAGAAAATCATCTTTAAAGTTGTTCAAATGAAGTTCTTAGCAATGCATATTACTAATCAAACATTAAGTTTTGATATATTTACGGTAGGAGATTTACTAAATATCTTCATGGAACATGATTTTTACGTAATATCCTAATGATTTTTGGCATCAAAGAAAAATTGATACAATGTATTTTGGCTATTGCTACAAATATACCGGTTTTGTGCTCCAGGGTCACATATTTCAACACAGTTTTACTAATTACTTGTATATAAATGATGTAAGCGGATAGTTCAGGTACATTGTGATTCTGCAAACAGACTGAACTTGGTTTATGAACTCAGCCCTGATTTGAGTTCTTGTCTTCTGCCAGCTGCTCCTCAGGTGTTGTGATGGCAGACACGGCCGTTCAGATGAGCAGAGTCGCAGATCTGGAGAACAATGTGTCCACCAGGACGAGCTCCTCTTCGGCCAGACGAGGAGCGACCGTGAGCTTCCACAGCATCAGCTACAGCGTGAAGATGAAGAGCGGCTTCCTGTGCAAGAGGAAGCTCACGCAGAAGAACATCCTCATCCAGCTCAAGTCAGTGTTGCACTCTTCTGGTGTTGTGCTGGCAAATCTGATCACAACATTCATGTCTCATGCTTTTTAAATAGTAAGGCTTCTCAAAAAATACCATGCACCCTGGAGTAGCACATAAATACCATGCTTCATGAATTGCAGCGCTCTGATATATATATTAAAGCAGCAGTGAATTACCATATGATACAATATTATGGCAATACCTGGGTATGTTTTGAAAAGCTTACAGTGACATTAAAATACCTTGAGGAAAATACCGCAGCGTTATTTTTTTGTAAGGAAAATCAAACATGGTGTATAAAAGTACTGTGGAGTTTCAGTGGTACATGGTTTTTATCATATTTTATGTACTTTTCTGGGTTATTATAGTTAAAGAAAACAAAACCTTAAACCATATAAAACTCATTGCATAAAATAAACTTGAACTGAAAAGTAAAATATTATATATATATGTATATATATGTGTGTGTGTGTATATGTATATATATAATCTTATTTTATTCTAGCTTGTTTCTCATTTTCATTTAGTTTAACTTGATAAAACACCTAAAATGGAAATAAAAATGAATAAAAACTATATAGACATATTAAAAAAAAGAATAAAAAGCACAACAAAGTGACTAAAACTAACTCAAATTAAAATGAACAACAACAAAAACCCCAGAAAATATAAAAAAATTGAGTAATTTAAATATTAATAAAATTAAGTATTATTCAAAAATATTTATTTTTATATTAAATATTATAATTATTAATAAAAACGATATAGACATATTTAAAAAATGACAAAAACACATAAAAATTCCTAAAACTTGAACTAAAATTTAAATGAACACAAAAATGTTATACAGAAATATTACATATTATTTCTTGAAAAGCATTATAAATATTAATTAAAATTCTAATATCCCTATAATACTAAAATATCTTGTTTTTGTATGTATGTTTTTATGTATTTGTTTTGTTAAGTTTTAATAGTGATACAAATGTTTGTTTTTTTTCAATAAAAGACTTTTGCAGGTTTTGCAGGACACATGTTTCCTGCATTTGGCTTTTCGACTATAATTATTAATGTAGTTGTGGTTTATTTTTGTGTTCGTCCGGTGACCAGCAGCACTGCATCAGATCTCGTGCTCAGACTTGTTTTCGAGAGGAACTGTGTCACATTTGGCCCTTGCATGAAAGTCATGGCTATTATTTGCTGTAAAGAAAGAAATCGAGAAGATAATTCCGAGGTTGTAGGTCTGGGAACATAAGTGTGGACGTGATGCGGGGTAACGTGTGTTTAAAGGCGCTGTGTGGTTGTGTGGTTGTGGAAACCACCAGGGAGGACTTCTGTGAATTGATGGAAGGAAGTATGGAGATGTTTCAACTAAATATGCACTGAAAAAACATACGTTTGTACGTGCTTCAGTAGACTTGGCAACACATGCGTGCTAATGCATTGTTATACAAGCACACAAACACGTGCATGTTTATGCTTTCATAACCTGATTTTGTTACGTATTGACACCCGCTGCGTTCAGGTCATTGTCCGACATGAAAGCCGCTGCCGAACAATAGTTTCACAAGGCCTGAGATGGAAAACACATGCATAAATGAGACATTTGAGGGTTGCAGTGCAGTGACTTTATTTTAGTGCTTGATTTAAAGGTTGTGGATGGATGAGCGCCATAAAACCTTGACTTCTGCCCTGCTGTCAGATAAGAGTCTCGTTTTGCTGTCCGTCTTTAACAGACCGGATTACAGAATTTGGATCATGTGACAGGACAATAATCTGCCAATTTCACTCGAAACATCTGACATCTGAGTCGTATTTCACTCCAAGATCAAAATATTAAGAAATGGTATGTTGCGTAAAGATTAGTTAATTCGTTTATTTTTTGCATTTTTTAGTTTCTTGATTAAACACATTTATCCCTCAAATGCTAAAGAAATCCTCTTCTCATTACCATAATACAGTCTTGAATATTGTATAAAATTTATACAGTGTCCTGTCAGAATGCAATACTTTTATTTTTATTCATAAAAATGTAAATATGAATATTGATATTTTTATTATTTATGGATTTTTAAAAACATTCTACTTTTTAATATCTTTATTTTTTGTTTTGATTTTTTTTAGAAAGTAAATACTATAATCAGATACATTTAAATTGATACTTTATTAATTGTACTTTTAGAAATGTACTTAATGAAATCATTTAAATTCATTTTTTAGTTATTTAAAAGAAATTAATATTTTCCCTGGTAATGTTATTTTAGTATCATTGTATATAGTTTTATTAATATTTTGAATTCGTTTTTATTTTGATGTTTTCTGTTCATTCTGTTTTCATTTTAATTTTAGTTAAAGTTTTTGTGATTTTGTTGTGTTTTTGTCATTTTTATTCATTTGTGTTTTTTTAATGTCTTCGTACGTTTTTTATAATTTTTTTATTTCAGTTTTAGTTATTTTAGTGCATTAAGTTAAACTACAGTAAATGAAAATGAGAAATTTTGCCTTGGCATCTAGCTGAAATAAAATAGGTTTTAGTTTTATTTTTTTAATTTTTAATTTTATTTTAGTTAGTTAATATTATTTACTTTTTTTTAAATGGTTTTAGTTTTCATGAACTATAATAACCCTAATGAGAATGACCTTTTTTGCATTATTTTGCAAATATTCTTATTAAAATGTACATATTATTTAAATCTTGTATTTTGTAAGGCCATTACTGTGATCATAATTAAATAATATAATATTTAAATATGAATATATATGAATAAATATGTAATATTTATAAAATATTAAATCTTTATCAATATAATACATATTCAAATGTAATATGCAATTTCCTAATAAAATAAACAACATTTTAAAATGATTAACATGTTTAAAGTCATTTTAGATCAAGCATAGTACGTGACCCTTACACAGTGTTAGAGACATAGTTAGCCAGTCAGATAGTTATTGGGTAGGTTTGATCATTAACCCGTGTGTGTCTGTGTGCGCTCAGCTGCTTGTGTAAGTGTCTGTCTGTCTCTCTGTCTATTTCTGTCATCCGTCTGTCTGTTATCTGTCTGTCTGTCTCTCTCTGTATGTCTGTCTGTCTATCTCTGTCTATCGTCCATCCGTCCGTCTGTCTCTGTCTGTATATCTGTCTGTCTCTCTCTGTCTGTCTCTGTCCGCCCATATGTCTCTGTCTGTATGTCTATCTCTGTCGGCTGTCTGTCTGTCTGTCCGTCTGTCTCTCTGTCTATCTCTGTCATTCGTCTGTCTGTTATCTGTCTGCCTGTCTCTCTCTGTATGTCTGTCTGTCTGTCTCTCTGTCTATCTCTGTCTGTCCATCTATCTCTGTCTGTCTGTCCATCCGTCTGTCTCTTTCTGTATGTATGTCTGTCCATCTGTCTCTCTGTCTTTCTCTGTCATCCGTCTGTCTGTTATCAGTCTGTCTGTCTGTCTGTTTGTCTGTCTGTCTGTCTCTCTGTCTGTCTGTTTCTGTTTGTATGTCTGTCCATCTGTCTCTCTGTCTTTCTCTGTCATCCTGTCTGTTATCAGTCTGTCTGTCTGTCAATCTGTCTGTCTGTCCGTCCATCCATCCGTCTGTCTATCTCTGTCTGTCCGTCTGTCTCTGTCTGTCCATCCGTCTGTCTCTTTCTGTATGTATGTCCGTCTGTCTGTCTGTCTCTCTGTCTGTCTGTTTCTGTCTGTCTCTCTGTCTATCTCTGTCATCCGTCTGTCTGTTATCTGTCTGTCTGTCTCTCTCTGTATGTCTGTCTGTCTATCTCTGTCGTCCATCCGTCCGTCTGTCTCTCTCTGTATGTCTGTCTGTCTGTCTGTCTGTCTCTGTCTGTCATTCATCTGTCTGTCTCTCTGTCTGTCCGTCTGTCACTGTCTGTCTGTCTGACTATCTGTCTGTCTCTTTCCGCCCATATGTCTCTGTCTGTATATCTATCTTTGTCTGTCTGTCTCTCTCTGTCTGTCTGTCCGTCTGTCTCTGTCTGTATGTACGTCCGTCTGTCCATCTGTCTCTCTGTCTATCTCTGTCATCCGTCTGTCTGTTATCAGTCTGTCTGACTCTCTGTCTGTCTGTCTCTCTCTGTATGTCTGTCTGTCTCTCTCTGTATGTCTGTCTGTCTATCTCTGTCTGTCATCCATCTGTATGTCTCTCTGTCCGTCCGTCTGTCTGTGTCTTGGTTTATGTAACCAGCGTTAAAGGTGCAATGTGTAATATTTTTGAGAATCTGTATACAGAAATGCAATGTAACATACAAAACTATGTTTTCAGTGGTGTATAAATACCTTACAAAATTAAATTACCTTAAAATAAGCCATTTCTATCTACATACACCGCGGGTCCCCCTCCATGGTTAAGTCGCCATTTTGCGCCGCCATGTTTCTACAGTAGCCCTAAATGGACAAACTACTCTACAGAGCGTGTTTCATCACTGTTGTTCTTGTTCGTTTCTTCCTTGTGTTCCTCGTGTTTCTCGTGTTTTTAGAGGCAGCTTATTTATTTATAAAAGACCATAAATTCTGTACAGTTAATACAATAATCATGTACTTTTCTAATTGTACTTTATTGATTTTACTTTCAGAAGTGTACACAATGAAGTTATTTGAATTCATTTTAATTATTTATTTATTTATATATGATTTAATATATTTAGAATTAGTGCTGTCAAACGATTAATCGCGATTAATCGCATCCAAAATAAAAGTTTTTGTTTACATAATATATTTATTTGTACTGTGTTTATTTAATACGTATATATAAATACACACACATTCAGTATATATTTTGAAAATATTTACATGTATATACATTTATATATTTATATTATTATATTGTATATTATATATGAATATATAAACAACATATTTTTCTTAAATATATACATGCATGTGTTTGTATTTATATATGCATAATAAATATACACAGTACACACTCATATATTATCTACATAAACAAAAACTTTTATTTTGGATATGATTAATCACGATGAATCGTTTGACAGCACTATTTAGAATATAGCATAATAAAGTAAAATTAAGTTTAAAATATTGTTCAAGTATATATATTATTTTAATAAATTTTTTTATACATTTAAAATATAAAATTATACATTTATACAATAATTTTTTTTTTAATTATATTAAAATAATGTATATTTTAAAATACTAAATATAGTTAATTTTAAAATGTATTTTAGTTGATGTGTTTTGTTTAAAGATGTTTGTGTTTTACTGAAGGTTTCTGGACGTTCTAGCCGCTCGTAAGGATCCTGCTGGTCTCTCTGGAGAGGTTCTTATCGACGGAGCTCCACAACCTCCAAACTTCAAATGTCTGTCTGGATACGTAGTGCAGGTATAAACCACACAAACACTCATTTACCACATTTCCTTTCTTCTGATCACTTAGTGCAGTAGCAGCACATTCTCCTCAACAACACATGATGTGAGGAATCACTTACGTCCGGAGCTCAAACGCTGAACTTACACATTAGACGTCACGTTTGACTCTAAAAACAGACTTCAGCAGTTAAAACAAGAAGCTGAACTGGTTATTCTGTAGAATACGTATCACGAGTAAGATTATGAATGAACATGCTAAATGAATGAATTTTGCAGGATGATGTGGTCATGGGGACGCTGACCGTTCGCGAGAATCTGCGTTTCTCAGCGGCTTTACGGCTCCCGAAGTCGATCCGTCAGCGAGAAAAAGATGAGAAGGTTGAGAGACTGATTCAGGAGCTGGGGTTGAGCAAAGTGGCCGATTCACGGGTAACGAAACAAACACACGTTCATCTGACTGCCGACATGTGCAGTCAACACAGACTTCTGTTGATGCCTAATTACATGATTAATAATTATTATACCCTAAACAAATATAACTTAGCATTCATATGAAACAATAAACAGTAGTCTCTTTTTCTTTTTAAATTAGAAGTGAAGCAGTCAGTCAAGTTTACATTATTTAGTAAACTGATTTCCACTTTAATAAAAATATATATAACAAACACGATTGCAAATTGGCAGCAAAACATCCTTTTTTTCTTTAAAATGGTTACATTAATTGTGTTTTTTATATATATATATGTTTTTTAATTAAAGTTGAAATCGTTTTCCTAAATAATGTAAACTTGACTGACTTCACTTCCACTTTAAGTGTTTTCTCCCCAAAAGTACAGCTAGAAAAAACATTAAAAGATTTTTAAAAAATGTAAATGAAATAAAAAATGAATGAATAAATGAAATGCGCTGAAATGAAATAAAAATAAACTTATTTTATGTCAACTAGATGCCAAGGCAAGATTTCTAATTTTCATTTGGTTTAACTTGAAGTACTAAAATAACAAAAAAACTAAAACTAATAAATAAAAATGACTTAAAAAATGCATATTTAAAAAAACTACAATAATAAAAATGATAAAAACACACAACAGAGTTACAAAAACTTAAAATAAAATAATGAAAATATAAATAAAAATATAAAAAGTTACATTTAATTCAAAATAGTAACAAAAACTATAATAGTATATTAATGATAATACAATAAAAATGACACACACACACACACACACATATAACATTTCACATTTTTGTTTAGTTTAACTTTAAGTAATAATATAACTAGAACTAAAAGTAAGAAATGAAAATTAATAAAAAACTAAATAGACTTAATAAAAATCACAAAAACGCAACATTACAAAAACTTTAAATAGAATTCAAATTAAAACCATATAGAAAATTAAAATTATTCAAAATATTAACAAACATACCAACAAAACTATAACAGTATATCAATGATATTAAAATAATAATAATATTTGTGTATAAATGTGCTGTTTATTAATAATGTTTTGTGTGTGTGTATAATGTATATTCAGAAAACAATGACTAATTAACACAAAAATCTGTGTGATCTACTCATGAGAATCATGATGAATTTAGTCAGTATTTAAGTTCATTATTGGGTTCAGAGGGCGGGACTTGAATTCAGGGCTGCTCTGATTGGCTGGTTTTACAGGTGGGCACGCAGCTGATTCGTGGCATTTCAGGCGGAGAGAGGAAGAGGACGAACATCGGCATGGAGCTGATCATTGATCCGCCGGTGCTTTTCCTGGACGAACCCACCACCGGCCTGGACGCCAGTACAGCCAACTCTGTCCTCATGCTGCTCAAGAGGTGCGTTTGTACACGGGACGCCCCACGAAACAATGTTATAAACAGTAACAATGTTATAAATGCACTGTAAACCACGGCTTCTTGGGGTTTATTGCTTTATTTATGGTCAGAACATGACAAACACTTCACGCTTTTGAATTCTTTACACTTTTCCAGTCATTGTTTCTTAGTTTCTGCATGTTCTAATGAGTGATATTATTTCAAATCGCGAAACCGGTTTGTGTTCCTGACTTTGATGACATGCATCTTCAGCACAGTTTGCTTTTCAGGCTGCAATACTAATAATATTATGTATTTTTGTCTCTCAGAAATGCACATTTGATAGTAGCTTGGGTTAGGATGCAGATGTACATTTATGTTCATTATAAAAAACAGTAACAATTGTAACAAACTCATTTTTATATGGTGAAATTGAATTATTCTGGTTGTTTGACTTTTATTATCATTAACCATTGTTCCCTTTCATGGGAACTTCGAACTGCGTCCTCTAGGGGTCGCTATGGGGAAACCTAGAGGACGCAGTTCGAAGTTCCCATGAAAGGGAACATCTCAGGTTACTTATGTAACCATGGTTCTCCATAGTAGCATACATTTAGATCATGATAACCACAGTTAAAACCACACATAAAGCACCTCGGTAAAAATCTAACTATATGGTTTCTAAGTATTTGTGTGAAAAACAGTAGTCTATTTAGCATGCACAAACACTATAGCTTAAACACAAAAATACTGTAATTATATTCAATTACTCCTTTAATACATGTTTTAATAATATAAGAAAATTCTATATGAATATCCCACATTTCTGCCACAATACCATGGTGCAGTTAGTGTTACTACAGTAAATTCATGGTAAATTATGGTGATTTGTAGATTTAGAGTGTTCTGACTGTATCATTGCGCACAGTGTTTGTAATATTGAACATTTATCAAACATTATCGTTTTATCGAGGAAAATTAGATCATGATAATTATAATTTTATCGTCCAGCCCTACTTAAAGGTGTGTAATAGTTTTAAAATAGTTCAGTCTATCCCGCTAGAAAGCACTAGGTTATTGCATATACTTATTACTGTACTAATATCTTCAATAAGACCCAATAAGAACAGATTGATGTCTCACATGGGCAGATTGTACTCACTGCAATTTAGCAAAATTAATATTGGTATAGTAATAAATATTAATCAGATTTAATAAGAATTAAAAACCCTAAATAATGTGTGAGTTGTTAAATATGAATATTTAGGAATATGTTAAATTTTTTTATTAATATACGTATATTACGTAAATCATTAAATTTTTCACACATTTGTTTTGTTTTTACAATCTAGGTTATGCTGATTGAACGTTAATGATTTAAAGTTAAATGATTTAATAAGAATATCACAATAAAGAAAATTCTGTCTTATTGTAAACTTACGATAATTTAAAAACAGTTAAATATACTGTACATTATGCAAATATGCACAGCCTTAAGTTATATTATATTCTAAATTAAATTGTTCACTTACATTTAATGATATAATATATATGTTAGGATATGTATTATTAATAATATTGTAGTATATTTCATAATATATAATAATATATTACTTATAATATATTATTTTGTTAAATAATGAAAAAAAGTA